GGCAGGAAGGGGGTAGAAGTGCCCCTGTAGGCAGGAAGGGGGTAGAAGTGCCCCTGTAGGCAGGAAGGGGGTAGAAGTGCCCTGTAGGCAGGAAGGGGGTAGAAGTGCCCGGTAGGCAGGAAGGGGGTAGAAGTGCCCGGTAGGCAGGAAGGGGGTAGAAGTGCCCGGTAGGCAGGAAGGGGGTAGAAGTGCCCGGTAGGCAGGAAGGGGGTAGAAGTGTCCCCTGTGGGCAGGAAGGGGTAGAAGTGTCCCGGTGGGCAGGAAGGGGGTAGAAGTGTCCCGGTGGGCAGGAAGGGGGTAGAAGTGTCCCGGTGGGCAGGAAGGGGGGTAGAAGTGTCCCGGTGGGCAGGAAGGGGGTAGAAGTGCCCGGTAGGCAGGAAGGGGGTAGAAGTGCCAGGTAGGCAGGAAGGGGGTAGAAGTGCCAGGTAGGCAGGAAGGGGGTAGAAGTGCCAGGTAGGCAGGAAGGGGGTAGAAGTGCCAGGTAGGCAGGAAGGAGGTAGAAGTGCCCTGTAGGCAGGAAGGAGGTAGAAGTGCCCTGTAGGCAGGAAGGGGGTAGAAGTGCCCTGTAGGCAGGAAGGGGGTAGAAGTGCCCTGTAGGCAGGAAGGGGGTAGAAGTGCCCTGTAGGCAGGAAGGGGGGTAGAAGTGCCCTGTAGGCAGGAAGGGGGTAGAAGTGCCCTGCCCTGTAGGCAGGAAGGGGGTAGAAGTGCCCTGTAGGCAGGAAGGGGGTAGAAGTGCCCTGTAGGCAGGAAGGGGGTAGAAGTGCCCTGTAGGCGAGGGGTTAAAATGTTACGAATATTTAGTCCCAAGAAAAAAAAATAAAAATAAAAGAAGCAAAACAAACACCTTTAACCCCCTCCTGCTGCCCCGGTGTCACTTAAAGTTCTGAACGCTCATGGGGCTGGACGGATCAGCAGTCATGTGACCACTGCGATTGGCCGTCACATAGTCAGGAGCCGGACCGATGTTTCAGCACGGAAACAATCAGCAACATCTAAGTGCGGCGTGGGAACGTTAAATCCCACCCTTTTGCAAGCCGCAACAGGCTAATGACTCCCGATCACTCATCCTTTAACCTGCATGTCATATCCAGACAACTGTAGTGGGGGGGGGGAAAAGCCACCCACACCACTTCCCGGTGGCCATCTTTTTATTATTTAATCCCCACTGTGTTTTTTGTTTTTTTTTAATAAAACGAAAAAAAAAAAAAAAACACCAAAAATTCTGGAAAAAAAAACCAAAAGCAAATAAAAACCAAAAAACAAAACAAAAGAAAAAAAAAAAAAAAAAGCCACCCACACCACTTCCCGGCGGCCATTTTTTTAGGAAGTCGTAGTCACTAGGGAGCTAGGTCACTTCTGATTGAACGCAAGGCTGAACAAAAGCTTGCAGTACATCTTAAATCATTTTTTATTATAAAAACTTTACATAGCATGGTGACGGATTATTTAACCTCTGTGTTTTTGTTTTTTTTTAAATAAAACACAAAAAATAAATAAATAAAAAAAACACTGAAAATTCTGGAAAAAAAACAAAGCAAATAAAAAAAAAAAAAAAACACCCACACCACTTCTCGGCGGCCATCTTTTTTAGGAAGTTGTAGTCACTAGGAAGCTAGGTCACTTCTGATTGAACGCAAGGCTGAAGAAAGCTTGTTGTGCATCTTAAATATTTTTATTATAAAATGTACATAGAAAGCTGATGGATTAATCACCGCTTTTTTTTCTTCTAAATAATAAAAAACGAAAAAAAAAAAAAAAGAAAATTCTGGGGAAAAAAAAAAAAAAACAAAAAAAAAAAAACCCCACTCTAAACAAAACAAATACTAAAAACACAAAAAAAAAAAAAAGAAAAAAAAACAAAAAGAAAAAAAAAACAAAAAAAAAAAAAATCCCACTCCTTTTCCTAGTTTAGGTTATAAAAATGAAAACTTTCCTTCACCAATTTGCGCTGATGAGGCGGCACTGATGGACATGGATTGGCGCTGATGAACAGTGCCAACAACTGTTTCAGGAAATCCAGTTATTGGCTTTCCTTTCCTCAGCGCTGTGAAAGCACCGAAAAAAAAAAAAAAAAAAAAAAAAAAAAAAAAAGGAAATGCAGATAACTGCCATTTGTTTACATACGATCAGCTGTGATTGGGCACGGCGGATCACATGGTAAAGAGCCAACGCCACTGGTGATGAGCTGTATACGAGGGCACAGATCGCCGCGCTGCGCGCCGCAAGCGGCGTGACTGCGAGGACGTCGCATGATGTCCACCCAGAGGGAGGAAAAGCCCGCCCAGCTGTCACTCAGTTATTGGTCGGACGGGAACCAGTCGAAGGTGGCGGTCAGAAGGCGTTACAATGGGGGTGGGGGGGTTATTTACCAAAACTGGAGAGTGCAAAATCCGGTGCATCTCCGCATATAACCCAATCAGCTTCCAGGTTTTACGATCAACTGAACAAGCTGATTGGCTCCCATTGGCACCGCATTTTGAGCGCTCCAGTTTTTCGTAAATCTCCCCCGCTGCCCCTGTCAAAATGCTCACTGAAGAGCAATTCCAAAAAGACAGATCGCTTTTCAGAGGTTGCCACTAGTGTGAACGAGCCCTTGAAAAAAAAAAAAATAAGTCGCTCCCAATGCCGGGATTTAATCATTCCTTCCCAAAATGGAAACAAAACATTCTGGTTTTCAGATGCGCTCCAGTACAGCGGACAATTGAGCGCGCGCCCACACCGCCTGAGAAACAAGCCAATCCAGATGCAGTTAGGGAACTCTGAACGTGTAATTAACTTCCCGTCCGGCCGCTTATATACAGTGGTGGCAGTGCAGGGGCGGGTTGCGTTCATAAACGGCAGCCGCCATTTTGGATTGTGCGCGCTCCCTGGGAGCGCGCGGCACCGCGATCCAGTGCCTGCTGTGGCCGGAGGACAATGTTTTTTTTAAACATTTTAGGCCTGAAGATTACTTAACCCCCCCAAGACGGTCTATATTTTCTGAAAGCAAACACCCGACAGCTCCGGTGTCAAACTGGCGGCACTCAGGCTGTTGGGACTACAAGTCCCATGAGGCCGTTTGTGAGGTCCTGATCATATGATCACAGATTGGCCAATCAGTGATCACATGCAGAATAGTAAGCAAGATGTCAATTCTGACATCATTGCTTACTACGTGTGAAATCTGTGAATGATCACAGAGGTCACATGGTACAGGGCTATTCACAACAGCCTTGTACCATGTAATAAGCTGTGACCAATCACAGCTCTCGCAGTATTTCTCAATGGCTAAAGAAGAAGAAATGGTTGGGAAATCTGTGAATGATCACAGAGGTCACATGGTACAGGGCTCTTCACAACAGCCTTGTACCATGTGACAAGCTGTGACCAATCACAGCTCTCGCAGTATTTCTCAATGGCTGCAGGAATGCAGTCAGAGAGAAGGAGAAATGATTGCTTTTACAGCCTTTAGGAGTGTAAAAGCAATCAGTGAAAAAAAAAAAAAAAAAAAATCATCACCCCCCACAACTATGGTGACACCGTACTGTTAGGGTGACAGTATGTTTAAAAAAAAAAATTATTTTTTTTTTAATTTCTGAAAAAAAAATATACAATTTTGGTTATAAACTAATTTGTTTTTTTTTTTTTTACTAAAAGACAACAATGCATTTTGGCCAAGATTTATGAAGAAAGATTTGCTAAATTTTATAAGAAAAACACTCTCAAACTTTTTGGACTTTCATTTATACAGCAAGAAAAAAAAAAAAAAAAAAAAAAAAAAAAATCCCAGCGGTGAATAAATACCACCAAAATAAAGTTTTATTGGTCTAAAAAAAAAAAAAAAAGCTAAAAAATTCATATGGGTACAATGTTGTATGACGGCGCAATTGTCATTCAAAGTGTGACAGCGCTGAAAGCCGAAAATTGGCCAATTGGCCTGGACCAAAAAGGGGGGGGGGGGGGGGGGGTGAAAGCATCCGGACCGGAAGTGGGGTAGGGGTTGAAGGCGTCCGGACCGGTGGGGGTTGAAGGCGTCCGGACCGGTGGGGGTTGAAGGCGTCCGGACCGGTGGGGGTTGAAGGCGTCCGGACCGGTGGGGGTTGAAGGCGTCCGGACCGGTGGGGGTTGAAGGCGTCCGGACCGGTGGGGGGGGGGGTTGAAGGCATCCGGACCGGTGGGGGGGGGGGGGGGGTTGAAAGCATCCGGGACCGGTGGGGGGGGGTTGAAAGCATGCGGACCGGTGGGGGGGGGTTGAAAGCATGCGGACCGGTGGGGAGGGGGTTGAAAGCTTCCGGACGGTGGGGGGGGTCTAGGGGGGGGTGAAAGCGTCCAGACCGCTGGAGGGGGAGGGGGTTTTGGAAGCGTCATGACCAGAAAGGGGGGGGGGGCATTTGAAAGTGTGCGAACCGGTAGGAGGGGGGGGGGTGAAAGCATGTGGACCGGTAGAGGGGGGGTTTGGTTGAAAGCATGACCTGGACCGGAGGGGGGGGGGTTGAAAGTGTCTGGACCGTAGGGGGGGGATGTTGAAAGCGACCAGACCGGATTGGGGGGGTGGGGGGGTTTGAAAGCGTCGGGCCGGTAGGGGCAGGGGGACTGATAGGGGGGGGGGGGGGGGGGAAGGTGCGGTGGTGAAAGCGTGCGGACCGGGGGGGGGGGGGGGGGGGGGGGGGGAGTGTGAGAGCGTGCGGACCAGAAGGGGGGGGGGGGGGGGGGGGGGACAGCGTTCGGACCGGAAGGGGGGGGGGGGGGGGGAAGGTGCGGTGGTGAAAGCGTGCGGACCGGTGGGGGGGGGGGGGGGGGGGGGGGGGGGGGGGGGGTGTGAGAGCGTGCGGACCAGAAGGGGGGGGGGGGGGGTGACAGCGTTCGGACCGGAAGGGGGGGGGGGGGGTGAAAGCATCAGGACCGGAAGGGGGGGGGGGGGGGGCGGTGAAAGCATCAAGACTGGAAGTGGTAAAAAAAAAAAAAAAAAAAAAAAAAAAACACCACACTATAAACGACTCCTAGAGAGGAACTTTACTTACCACAGGCGGGCGGATTTTACAGATCCCCGACTTTTCCGCGATTGGCCGGATCCTGGCTATATAGCCCAGAGGGTCGGCAAACTCCTCCCAAGTCGGCTCGAAAACGGGGCACTCCGGGGGCGGGATGAACTCCTCTGTCTCCATGTTGGGGTTTCGCAAGGTGAAGAAGGTTGGATCCAGAAGGTGGGTGTTGACGTGTATCACATAATCCTCCTTTAAAGCCCAGAAAAAAAGCCACCGATTTCCTCCGTCGATTGGACTGGACGATTGGACGCCACCAATCACGCCCTCTGTAGATAATCGCAGCTGTGACTTCTCTTCAGGAAGGTTCTTCCTGTTCAACAAAAAGGGAGGAGAAAGGAAGACGGTAAACAAGAGAGGTTGTGTTTCCGCCTATTGAGCGGACAACTTCCATCCACCTCGGTGCTATTTATACACACAGCCAGCACCGGGAAGGGGATTAAAGGGTCAGTAAACCATTCATAAAATGTCTGCAGATATTAAATATTAATCCTAATCAATACCCCTTGGCCCGGTCAGGTTATCGGTTACCCCGGGTCTCTATTTCCTTTCTTCTCAGTTTCCCTTCTTACAATGACAACCAGAGGATTAGGTGACTTCCTGGTTTCTCAGAGGATCAGGTGACTTCCACATAATGAAGAAAAAAAAAAAAATAATGTAATGGATTGAGGTTTTTGGACCAGTTCAAAAAGAGGTAAATAGATGAGACTGGTTGCAGACAGCGGGCAAGGCCGGTAGAGAAGAGACTGGTGGCAGCTAGAGGGCAAGAGTGGTATAGATGAGACTGGTTGCCGATAGCGAGCAAGACTGGTATAGAGGAGACTGGTTGCCGATGAGACCGACGTAGATGAGACTGGTTGCCGATAGCGAGCAAGACCGATGTAGTAGAGGAGACTGGCTGCCGATAGTGGGCAAGACCGGTATAGAGGAGACTGGTTGCCGATAGTGGGCAAGACCGGTATAGAGGAGACTGGTTGCCGATAGCGGGCAAGACTGGTATAGAGGAGACTGGTTGCCGATGAGACCGATGTATAGATGAGACTGGTTGCCGATAGCGAGCAAGACTGACGCAGAGGAGACTGGCTGCCGATAGTGGGCAAGACCGGTATAGTAGATGAGACTGGTTGCCGATAGCGGGCAAGACTGGTATAGAGGAGACTGGTTGCCGATAGCGGGCAAGACTGGTATAGAGGAGACTGGTTGCTGATAGCGGCGCAAGACTGACGTAGAGGAGACTGGTTGCCGATAGCGGGCAAGACTGGTATAGAGGAGACTGGTTGCTGATAGCGCGCAAGACTGACGTAGAGGAGACTGGTTGCCGATAGCGGGCAAGACCGACGTAGAGGAGACTGGTTGCCGATGATGAGACCGATGTAGATGAGACTGGTTGCCGATAGCGGGCAAGACTGGTATAGAGGAGACTGGTTGCCGCTGAGACCGATGTAGATGAGACTGGTTGCCGATAGCGAGCAAGACCGATGTAGATGAGACTGGTTGCCGATAGCGGGCAAGACTGGTATAGAGGAGACTGGTTGCCGCTGAGACCGATGTAGATGAGACTGGTTGCCGATAGCGGGCAAGACTGGTATAGAGAGACTGGTTGCCGATGAGACCGACGTAGAGGAGACTGGTTGCCGATATCGGGCAAGACTGGTATAGAGGAGACTGGTTGCCGATAGCGGGCAAGACTGGTATAGAGGAGACTGGTTGCTGATAGCGGGCAAGACTGGTATAGAGGAGACTGGTTGCCGATAGCGGGCAAGACTGGTATAGAGGAGACTGGTTGCCGATAGCGGGCAAGACTGGTATATAGAGGAGACTGGTTGCCGATAGCAATCCAAGCGGGCAAGACTGGTATAGATGGAGACTGGTTGCCGATAGCGGGCAAGACTGGTATGAGATGAGACTGGTTGCTGATAGCGGGCAAGACTGGTATAGATGAGACTGGTTGCCGACAGAGACTGTAAAAAAATGGAACTGGTCGTTGATAGAGACAACGGTACGGCCAGAATACACAGGACGGGCTGTCAATGATAACCTATCTTGATCGACTTACTAGAACAGAAACAAGGCCGCTATAGGCGGGACTGGTTACCAAACAGGGACGGTGAGTACGGTATAGATGAAAGAGGTTACCAGTTGAGGACAGTCAGGCCAGTGTAGATCGGACTGGTTACCCAAAGACGATGTTAAGGACGGTATAGGCAGGATAGGTTGTCACTAAGGCTGTTGGTGATGGTAATGAAGGGACTGATTGTCCTTAGTGATGGGGATGATCATATTGGACGGCGATAGAGACGGTGAGCCAATAATGATGGGACCGGTCACCAATAGAGCCGGTGGGCTGTTAACGACGGGGCTGGTTACCACCAGACAATGTGAAAGCCGTCAATTATGGGACTGGTGGCCAATAGAAATGATAATGATGGGAACTGTCAGATAAGAGACTGTACGCCAGAATTAATGGGACCGGCCACCAACAGAGAAGGCAGGCCGGTGACAATGGGACCGGCCACCAACAGAGAAGGCAGGCCGGTGACAATGGGACCGGCCACCAACAGAGAAGGCAGGCCGGTGACAATGGGACTGGGGACTGGCCAACAGAGAAGGCAAGCCCGGTGACAATGGGATGGGGGGGACTGGCCAACAGAGAAGGCAAGCCGGTGACATTGGGACAGAGAAGGCGGTGACACCAACAGAGAAGGCAGGCGGTGACAATGGGACCGGCCACCAACAGAGAAGGCAGGCGGTGACAATGGGACCGGCCACCAACAGAGAAGGCAGGCCGGTGACAATGGGACCGGCCACCAACAGAGAAGGCAGGCCGGTGACAATGGGACTGGGGACTGGCCAACAGAGAAGGCAAGCCGGTGACAATGGGACTGGCCAACAGAGAAGGCAAGCCGGTGACATTGGGGGACCGGTCACCAATAAACGACGCGAAGGGCGCGGTAATGATAGGAATGGTTGCCAATAGACGACAAGGTCAGTATAAGTGGGACTGGTTGTTAAGAGATGGCAACAATGGGACTGGTCGTTAGTGACGGTACGGACGGGACTGGATGTCATCTGAGACTGTAGGCTGATGGAAATAGTCGCCGATAGATGGTAAGCCAATAAATGATGGGACTGGTCCCCAATAGAGATGGGACTGGCTGCCGCCGGAAGACTCCAAGGCCGGCAACGACTTGGTTTCCAATAGGGGGACCACCTTCTGGGGCAGTCCTCACATATTGCCCCCCCCCCCGGGGGCAGTAGATGGCTCCTGCCCTCACATATTGCCCCCCCCTGGGGGCAGTAGATGGCCCCTGTCCTCACATATTGCCCCCCCCCCCCTGGGGGCAGTAGATGGCCCCTGTCCTCACATATTGCCCCCCCCCCCCCCTGGGGGCAGTAGATGGCCCCTGTCCTCACATATTGCCCCCCCCCCCCCCCTGGGGGCAGTAGATGGCCCCTGTCCTCACATATTGCCCCCCCCCCTGGGGGCAGTAGATGGCCCCTGTCCTCACATATTGCCCCCCCCCTGGGGGGCAGTAGATGGCCCCTGTCCTCACATATTGTCCTCACCCCCCCTGGGGGCAGTAGATGGCCCTGTCCTCTCACATATTGCCCCCCCCCCCTGGGGGCAGTAGATAGCTCCTGTCCTCACATATTGCCCCCCCTGGGGGCAGTAGATGGCCCGTCCTCACATATTGGCCCCCCCCTGGGGGCAGTAGATGGCTCCTGTCCTCACATATTGCCCCCCCTGGGGGCAGTAGATGGCCCCTGTCCTCAATATGCCCCCCCTGGGGGCAGTAGATGGCCCCTGTCCTCAAATATCCCCCCCCTGGGGGCAGTAGACTGCCCTGTCCTCACATATTTCCCCCTTGGGGGCATTGGTTGGCCCTGTCACATATTTCCCCCCCCCTGGGGGCAGTAGACGGCCCCTGTCCTCACATATTCCCCCCCTGGGGGCATTGGTTGGCCCTGTCCCCACATATTTCCCCCCCTGGGGGCAGTAAATGGCCCCTGGCCTGGTGTGGCTCTTCATACCCCAGAAGTCAGGACAGCCCTGAGCTCCTCCCCCCCCAGGGGCCCCAGCCAGGACCAGAGGTGGCCCCCACGACTCCGGCCCCCGCGCCCCCCTCACCCTCCTCGGGGGACACCCCACCTTCTTATTGTTGTTTTCCTCCTTCACAGTCGCTTCTCCCCCTCACTCTCCGCGGCCGCCATCTTGAAGACGCATCACAGGCCTCCTTCCGCGCCCCCTCTGGTGACCCCGCCCTTTATCAGGCCCCCAGCGGCCCCTCCGCGCCCGCGGGCGCCACACCGCGCAGCGAGAGGCGGAAAGGGGCGCCTTCCGCGGGGCAGAGCGGTGGTGGAACTGCTGGGCGTGCTCCTCCGCGCCGTTTACGTCAATGAGTCCCTTCGGCGGAGGGATCTCTCGGCGCAACGCGACCCGGCCGGGAAGGGAGCCGGACTTGATATTCCCATCAAGTCGCACGTTTAAAGGGCCCCACTGCGCACATGCGCGGCCACACAGGAAGCGGGTGGTGGAGAGGAGGGGGGAATACCTCCTGCGTGACGTTGGCGGCACCCGGAAGTGTCAGCGCACGTTGGAAAACAATGTTTAAAGGGACAGGAGCACGAGGAGGGGGGAGGGAACGAGCTCAGATTTATGTTCATAGAAGTGTACTGGGACAGTGTGCGGGCCACTGACAACATTTTTTTTCATTCTGGGGAAATTTTTTGTATTTTTGGGACGTAAAGACCATTTTTTTTCTTGCACACAATTTTTAATTTTTTTTTTTTTTTTGCACATTGAAGCCATTTAAAAAAAAAAAAAATGCATACCAGAGCAATCCTTGAATTTTTTTTTTGCAATTTTTTTATTTTTGCACATTTTTAATTTTTCTTACACCAATTTCTCTTTAGTCCAGGGCAATTTTTGTTTAATTTTTGGACACCAAGGTACATTTTTTAGGGTTTTTTTTGCCACACTGGGACAATTTTTTAAACTTTTTTGGACACTGAGGCAATTTTCAACATTTTTTTGCACAGCAGAGCCATTTTTTTTAATTTTTTTTTGCACACTGGGCAAATTTTGTTTTATTTTTAGTGAAAATGGGCAATTTTTTTATTAT